AAAAAGAAGTTACTCTTGAAACATAGTGGCAGGGCTGCAAGGGACAGCCCCAGGAGTGAATGCAGTTTGTAGGACTTTATTTGGGAGGGAAACAAGCACGGTGGTTTAATATTAACAGCCTTCAGTTAGCTCATTCCAACTTACTGTTTCCAGTTCTTTATGTGCATCCAGGGCAGTGGTTTCCCTGTCAGACTTCTCTTCCACTTTCTTCAAAATATTCTGCAGGGCAGAAGAGGCTGTGTTAACTCTGATCCCAACCTGACAGCACAGAAGAGTCTTTCCTACCCTCTGAGTTATTTCTGGCTCTCAGCCTAATTACAGGCTAGGTAAGAGAGTACACTGACTCTCACCTCTTAGTTCCTCTTTCTCATTAAAACCTGTTCCCATCTCATCTTATATCTAAAATACAGCAGGCAGACTCCTATTTTATAAAAATAAAGGAATAAATAAAAATAGCTCCAGCTGGCACTAACAGGCAGTGGTACTGGTAACCCCAGGGGGAGAAAACCATTTGGGACTGAGCTGTCTCCTCACCCCTAGGGGCACGTTCTCCTGCAGAGTTTAGGCAAGCTGGCAAAGCACAGGAGGGAGAGGGGTGACAGTCTGGTCCAGGCCAACATGATGTTGAGTATTATATATGGAGCATTTCCATGTCCTGCAGCTGTTCTACCCTGTGTATCTGTGTGTCAGCATCCTAACCATCAGGCAGCTGGGTTAATGGGCTGTTGCTACCCCTTCTAGCAGCTCAACAAAGTTGCTCCTCAACTCGTTGCTCAGTAGGAGCTACCTGGCAAATTCAGCACGAATTAGGGGTTGATCTGTGAGTGACTGAAATCTCTCTTTCCATAGCTGTTGAGAATGTGTAACTCTGTGGAAAGGCTTCATCCAGCTCTAGGGTTGATCGTGGCTGTACCTAAGCCCTGTTCACAACTGCTGGAAAGGAGAATTCCAGGACTGATCCAGAAGACCTTTGGGAGAGAGAGAGAGAAGAGCAAAACTCTACCTGCACCAGCAGCTTGAGCCGAGTGATCCTCTGAAATGGCAGAATCAGGAAGGAAGAAAAGGAGAGGCCTTTGCACTTGGGATCCAGCTCCAGCTGTGAGATCAGCTCCCGGAAAGCTGGCTTGTCCTGCCTGAGAGGAGAGACAAAAGAAGGTGAGGGCATCAAGTGCCACCCTGCTTGAGACCCTGGGGTCTGGCTGAGCAGCTTGGGCTCAGAGCCAGCACCTGCCCGGCCCCTCCCAGTAACAGAGAAGAGAGGAGGAAGGGACTGAACGTTTCTAGGGGTATTTCAGTTTAAATCTAGAACTATTTATAGTGTTGGGGGAGGGAAAAAAATAGACTTAATGTACAAGCCATGGCAGTGTTCACATGTGTGAGCACATCCAGCTCAGCAGCATACGCTGTGTGTGTGGGTGTGTGTGAATGGGGTGTGTGTCCAAGGGGATGAGTCAGAGCCATAATTATGTATTTTTACACAGTTGGAACTCTGTGACAAGGTGAAATTCACACAGTCATAAGAACAAGACAAGCCACCAAACAGCTCAGGCTTGGTTACTCTTGGCTGCTTAGCCAGAGGATGGAAGTCATTATCTGGCCTGAGGAGGGCACGGGCCATGCCCAGGTCTTCCCTGATGGTGTTGTCAGCAGATGGGCACTGCTGGGCCATGGACACAGCTGCCCAGAGCAGCCTCACAAGCCCCAGCTGCCACGGTCACAGACAAGGCTCCCTGGCAACTGCAGGGCCCTGAGGAAGCCTTAAGCTGCTGGAGCTCTGGCAAGCAGGAACAGGTTGGATCTGAAGAGATTTCTGACTATGCAAACCCTGTCCTCACTGCCTGTGCCTCCCTGCACCCAAGAGAAGCCACTGGATGTGTTTCTCCTGCTCTAACAGGTACTTGTGTGATGATGTGACCCTCCAGAGCCACAGCACAATCTGAGGAACAGCCAAGGGGGGCAACTGCCCCACACCTCAGGCTTCCAGTTCAGCCATGTGCTGCAAAATCCTTGTGCTAACCAGGGGCCTGTGGAAGCAAGTCCATTCCTTTCAATTTGCTGTATGTCCTCCCACAGACAAATAAAATGCCACCCTCTAGATCTATATCCAGGAACACTTCTGTCTCCAGCAGGTCCTTTTCAGGCTGAACTAACACAGCCCATTGCTGCTTTGCTTCCAAGTGTTTAGCTAATGGCTCTGGGCAAACTGTTCATATTCTGCAGCTCTGTCATTCACCTCTGACTGAACAATACCCTGCAGCACCCTCCTTTTGGAGACAACAGTTGGCCAAGCTCAACAGAGGCCACTTAAGGAAGTCAGGAGGTTTTTTTGCCTCAAAAGCTGGAGAGCAGAGAAAGGACTAGGGTTTGTTACACTCCCCTGAACCAGCTGCTGCTACAGGGAGGAAATATGGTGTGGAGTGTGTAATGGGCTGTCCTGAACTGAACAAAACCCTGCAGCACCCTCCTTTTGGAGACAACAGTTGGCCAAGCTCAACAGAGGCCACTTAAGGAAGTCAGGAGGTTTTTTTGCCTCAAAAGCTGGAGAGCAGAGAAAGGACTAGGGTTTGTTACACTCCCCTGAACCAGCTGCTGCTACAGGGAGGAAATATGGTGTGGAGTGTGTAATGGGCTGTCCTGAAAGAATCCAGGACACTGTAACTAAAGAAAAATGAATTCTCCTGCTCAAAGACAAGGTTGTAGGGCACTCTTTGTTTTGAGTTAGTGAAAGAGAATTCTTACCAGACCAAAAGACATGCTCAACCTGAAAAATACTGTGAAAATATCTTGCATTATACCCTCAGGCCTCAGTAATGTCTGTGTGTGTAAGATCAGAATGTGAACAAAATATTTTTTTAAGAAAATTTAGTTGTTCTGAAAAAAAAAATTCTTAACTTTGGGAAGGTCAGATGCTGAGGAGTTCAGTAAAAGCAGTGGCTGCTCTTGTCATCAGAGATCTCTGTTATATTCTTGGCCTTTCAGTCTCTTGCCTCTACTTGCAGCTTAAAAACACATACATTCCACAAGCACACCATAAATATTTCCCACAGCTGGGAGCTGCTGGTTCTGAATTTACTTGGTGTGTTACCTGTGTTGTTCTACCACTCCACCCTTACTGTAAAGCCTTTTAATTGTGTTTTCTTTTTCCAGATGCAGTGCAAAATGAGTGAAGTGGGAAATCCTCTCTGTACTCTCCAGGCCTTTCTCGTAACTATAAAAATCACAGCTAAATCCATGGCCTTAGACAATTTTGCAAAGGGATTTAGCATCAAGCACTGGAACTCACAGAAGCTGCTTGTAAGCTCTCTCCTGGTAGGTCTGGTTGGAGACGTAGGTGATGTACACAGAGAAGTGATTGACTGTGTGCTGGTAGACAATATCACACACGTCTGAGATCACAATGTTCTCCTCCACACGCTGCTCGAGATCCAGGAGGAAGCTAGATGAGAAAGCCAGTGCTGACATTAATGGGAAGCCATAAATGCATCCACGTGCTCTTGGAGAAGACAACCCCTGGCCCAGCTCCTCCATCCCTCTACAGATGAGGTGGGCTGAAGAGGTGCCACCCAGCTGGCCAGGAGCCCAGCAGCAGCAGCTGCCTTACCGCTCGCTGACGGCCATGACGTCCAGGACGTTGGAGAAGAGGATGTGAGCCTCAGACTGGTGCAAGATCTTCTTCAGACGTTCATTCTCCATGAAGTGAGACACCAGCAGGTTCAGGCTCTTGTAATACGAGGCTTCGGAAGTAACCAGCTCAAACATGGCCTGAGGGAGAATCCCAAAGGAGGAGATCAGCAGGTGGCTTCTGTGCAGAGGCACTCGCAGCATGGATGAGGACATCCCTGCTGCACGCAGCCATGGACCTTGCACCCACCCTCCAGGCCCAGAGAAAGGGGCAGGTAAGCCTACACTGGCTTTTGCCAAGTGGTACACAGGGTGGTGGCTTCAATGGGGAAGGTTTCCTCCCTCAGCTATCAGCCCTGGCTCCTTCTCTCTCTCCCTCCTAGGTTGTTTGACCACATTTCCTTCCACTGAATCCCTCCAGCAGAATTAGCTCTTTTTTTCATTATATGTAAACAGTCCAATTTTGTGCATGTACACACATAAAAGCACATCAGGGCTCCCCAGTTCCTTCTTAGTATGACTCAGGTGTGACCTGAGGCTGCCCCAGGCCCTGAACACCTCCTGTGCCTGCTTGTCATGGTCCTGAACATTCACCTCCCTTTTGGGGAGCTCCCCTTGGCAGCCTCCAACCTGCTGCTGACAGTGACAGTGCTGGCTTGTTGCTCTGCTCCTTGTGGGCTGCTGTGCTACCTGGGCAGGTCTCCTGGCACCCTCTACACTCCTGTTTTAGAAGAGCCATGGTGTAGGGGCTGGGCTGCAGAGCACCCCGCGTGCCACAGTCCCAGCTTGTGACCCCAAAGTTAATGGGAAAATCCAGATGTGCTGCTGCAAGCCCCTGACCCCAAGGAAATACAGCTGTTCCTGCCCAAGGGAGGCTCCCTGCTCAGCCCTGGCCATAGGCTTCTCTGACCCAGGTCACCAAGGACTAGGACACAACAGTCCTTAAATTTTACCTGAAACCATAAATAATCTCCAAATTCCAGCCCTTGCTTACCCTGTCAAGAGAGAACTCTCTGGTGCAAAGCCTGGTGGGCTGGGCAGCCAGAAAGTCAAATGGATGGTTTGGGTTGGAGATAAATCACCAAGGATGTAAAACCTTCTGCCCACAGCAGGTGCTTGAGGGACAGTCCACTCTTACCACACAGAGCTCACTCTGCAGCCAAGTGTTTGTGCTCCTTGTTCAGCAGTAGATAAAAAAGGTGACTAATTCCACAACTGCTGAATCCCTTGGATGAAGGAAGAGTAATTGAAGATTCTCACCAGGGCTTCAACAAGTTGAAAAATCATTAGAACCTTCAGACATCTCTTGATGAAGGTGCCTCTTGGGCTCCTTGTCCTGGGGCTGGCCCATGCTGCCAGGCTACTGAAGAGGAAAGTTTTGCCTGGACAGCCCCCAGAAGTCAGACAGAGCAAAGGGTGCAGGGAGGAGTGAATGTCCTTGGTCAGTGTATGTGGAACAGATGGTATTTAAGGAATTAGAGGCCAGATTCCCAATGAGAAAAGTGGGGAAGTATCAACTCAGCTTCTCCCAACAGCTTCACCAGAGCACCTGGTCAACCTGAGAGAGAACCTCTCTCTCTGCATGACTGCCTAGGTCCTAAAAGCACCACTTAGAGCTTTAATTGTTGTTTTTTATCTGATTAATGAGAGGAGAAGAGGAAATAGGTAAAGATGCAACAAAGAACAGGACATGATGTGCTGGGACAGCCTGTCCTTCCAGATCATCCCAGGGATTGATACCACCAGCCATTTGCACTGCAGCTTTCCAGGCACTTGAAGCCAGGACACTTTTTCTTGCCAGGTCTTTGGTTGCAGGATGGCCATAAGAGCCAAGATCAAGACCTGCCACTCCACCACAGCCTTTAAACCCTCAGACAACTTGCTTCATCTAGAAGGTTGCTCCCTGATCTGCAGGAGCTCCTCTGCCTGTGTTTGGAGAAATGAATTTGCTGCTCACCATAGTGGTGGGGTGCAGGACCTGTGCAGGGTGCAAGCCAGAGCAAGGAAATAAATCCAGAGTGAAAATATCAACACACAGGGGTTTGATTTAAAGAGAAATCCAGGAAAGTAAAGGATCAGGACAAGCTTCTAGAATTGTTCACAACACAAGTAAGGCACAAGTTTCTTAATTTACTCTGGAGGTCCAGCTGGTCCTTTGCAAAGCCAAAGTACCTACTCTGAGGAGCCCAGGCTGCTGTTTCCCTTGCATGAGCAGCAGACCTCCTAAACTGGCACTGACTGACCAACTGTGGGGTGTGATGATGGGATCTCTGTGGGATAAAAGCAGTCACTAGAAATAAAAGAGCATGAACTTCTAGTCTCAGAACTGCAAAACTAACTAGAAAAAGAATTTGAGCTAAATGTCAAATGATGGGATATTATCCTCCAAAGTCTATAAATAGTCTGAAACTATCTCTTGGAAACATGACCTCTTCCATCCATCCTCTAGGTCGTTAACTTCATTAAATCTCATCATGTAAAAACCATACTGACTGTTTTCATTGCTTATGTTTTGGCAGAGAGACTGAGAAAGGAAACAAAAAGTGAAGCCTAAGGAAGAAGGAAACAGAGATGATAAAAAAAGGAGAAAAACTGAGAGACACCAGAGACAAGAGTAACTAATCCTGACTCCTGAATTCCCAGTGAGACAAATGTTTTGCTGCATGGATTGGAAGTACCTGCTCCCTGTGGCCCTGCTCCTCATGTCGACCACCAGGTAAGGAGGAGGAATTCTGGCCTAGGCTGGGAGGGATGTTGCTCTGAGCTGATGCCACAGCACAGGCTGTGACCAGCTGAGGCCTGGCTGCCTTCACAGGGCCAGCCTGACCCCCACCTGCTACAAGTCCAGCACAGATTAGTCTGTCTCTGCCCCTTTTTCTAACACCAAAGTGACCTGAATCCAAATAACTCCTGGCAAAGACTTTATCAAAGCTCATATACCTCAGCCAAAAGGGTTCTGTTCAAAGATTAAGAATACTTTGCTAAACTATTTTTATCAGTGAATTGTTTTGGGTGAGTTCCACTCAGCTTGGAACCTCTCAAAGCACAGAAGAGGAACACAGCCATAGGAAAATCAAGTTAGCAAGCAGAAAAGGACAAAGTGAAGGAACTCTAAAGTAAATGAAACAAGGACAAGCAGAAAAGTAGAAAACTGAACTGGGGAAGAGGAAGGAACTGGACCCACTCCACAAAAAGACCATACCAAGATCTAAGGTAAGGTTTATGCTGAAAGAAGATTCAATGACTAGATGTTGTTGCTTCTGCTCTCTGGATCACCACCTCTTCAGAACCTAGTACTGGGGTGACAGAATCTGTTTTAACTAAACCATACCTAATGCAGGGAGTGTGTTTGCTCTGTAGTCTCTTACTCCTCTTGCTCTTACTCCTCATTTCTGCTACACTGACTCCATGTTACAACCCAAACAGCCTTTCTCTTGGCTTGTTCTTCTTGCATTCCTTACATTTTTATGTAGTTAAAAGAAGTCCTTGGTGACTGATGGTTTGCTGTGTTTGATGCTCAGCAGATGATTTAAACTACCCTATCAATGACTTAGTAATTATTCCAGCAGCACATCATTTCCCTGACCTCTGTGATCTGCAACGTGTCTTCTACTTTTGTTCTTTCTTTTTCTGCACTCACATCCACATTTTTTGTGGCACTTCCAGTTGTTGCTCTGCACCTTGCTGCTCTCACACTGGTTTCAGGTGCCAAAGGGGAGCGTGGCAGAGGCTCTCTCTCTTGCTGTTTAAGCCCTGCTCCACCACACCTATAGTGGTGTTCCCTTCCTCAGCTGTGAACAGGGGTGTTTGCTTCAACTTTCTTTCCATTTGGGTACTCCTATTCCCCCCTATGGTGTAAATAATACTCCTGCTCTACCTTTCCTGGCTGAAGCTCTTCTAGGCCCTGTGTTGACCACAGCTTTGAAGAGAAAATGGTTCAGAAAGGTACAATTTTGTCCCTAAGACATTTACTCCAGAATTTCTGCTGTATCACCTATCTAACATGTGAGTCCAGTTCCAGCACTGTAGGACCAAGCAGTGCTTGCTTACAGCAAGGCTGAATTCAACTGCCTCAGTGATTCCTGCAGCCCTCCTTGTTTCCTGCACTTGACTCCTCCTGCAAAGCAAGTTCTCCACTTCATCTACTCAATATTCAGCCAATTTCACACCTTTCTGGCTATGAGTGATTTTATAATCTCTGACTGTGCTAATCCCAGAACAAACAGGAAGAAAACTCCAGCTCTGATAAACTAACATCAGGGGAGAACACAGCAGTTCTTTAAGGCAGCTCTGTCCCATCTCCATCTGCTTTATTTCTGTTGGTATTTAAGTAGAGAGAAGAAAATTCAGCACATTTGATGTTGGGATTTAGCAGCATGGAGATTTTTTTTTTTCCTTGAAACACCCACAGGTAATGAAAGTAACTGAGGAGAAATGGCAGGTTTTGAAATCTATAATGCAAACTTTTTAGTGAGTGTTTCTCTATAAAAGGCTCTTCATTTTGAAGCAGAAAGAAGATGGAAAGCATGTGTAATTTTTCAGGTGGCAGGTTGTGTTTGTAATGCTGGCAGATACAAGCACCGTGTTTTGCCAGGTAAACAGAACAAACCTGACACAGAAATAACCAGTGCAGAAGAGGAACATGGAAAAGCAACAAATCCCTTTAGTCACCTTCCTCCATAACCCTGACACACGAGCAGCCAGTGCTGCCAGCCCAAGCTAACCTGGACAAACACCTCTCCCACCATGGGTGTGAGTAGCACGGCCCTGCCCACCACAGCCCTGCCCCAGGATGATCCTTGGCCAGGACCAGGCTGGCACTGTGTACACAAGGGATTCACAAATGCTGATTTTGCAGATCCAAGTCAACTTTGGGGGAACTGCTCACGCTCTGAGATGTTATTTAGGACTCTGGGTACAATCTCAGGAGCCAGGGTTGAAGAGCTACACTGCCACAATGGTGTCACCAGAGGCAATCCTGGCACAGGGCTGTTGTGGGACTCCCAGGATCAAGCCTCTGAAGGCCCACTGCTCACGTTGCAATGCCAGCACACACTAAACAAGGCTCCTTCATCTCCTCTGCTGGCTAGGGAGGCAGTGCCACACACTGACAAAGAGCACTCGTGTTCCCCACACTATCCAAAAGAGCAGCCAGTTGTAACCTGCTGTGTGACTGATGTTTTCACTAACTGTGGCAGCTGCCCCCTCCTCCTCCTTTCACTGTTTGATGCAGCCCTGTAAATCAACAGCATGTGACTCTTCAGCAGTGATGTCACTCCACTGTATGGCTAAAATGCAAGTATACCTGCCTTTATTTTTTACTATTTTGCATAAGACTCCAACTAAGAACATTTAAAAATGAGGTTTATTGAGCTCCCTCTCTCCCCTTTCCATTAATGCCATCATATTTAAAACTGATTACTGTTAATGGTTGAATTCTTCTAAGATTGTAACTATGTATCCTGCTCGTAACCTCAGAAGAGGATTAATGTGCACAGTGAACCAAAAGCTCCATTGCAAGAGTCCCTTCATTATTCCTCTTCCTTTGTAAATTACTCCTACCATTGAATCAGGAAAGGGTAAAGTACTTATTTCTTGCTGCAGAGGTGTCCAGCAGCAATAGCATATAGAACAGCAGCTATAGTTTCAGAAAGAGAGTGAGTGGTCCTAACCAGTGCAACACAGGCAAGCACTCAGTAGGGCAAGGCTTGCCTGTGGCTGCTATGAAGCTTTTAATTCTAAAATCTCAATCATTTGACTCAACTGACTCACTCTTTTAAGCAGCCACCCAGTTAAGGAACACTCCACCTTCCCCCATTACCTCCTGCAGCTTGATCTCATCGGGCTGGAGGATGCTGAGGACCCCGCTGCTGCGGATCTCGGGAAGATCCTGCCATAAGTTGAACCTGGAGTTGGAGTTCCTCAGCAAACTGATTTGTGGTGGAGCTTTGTTTTCAGTTGTACTTGTAGGTTCTGCTTCAGAGGGGGTTTCCTCGCTGGGGGAACTCTCCTCAGGGTCTGTCTGTGAATCCTGCAGTCGCCTGGTTTCAATCTCCTGCCGCGTAGATTTATCTCGATACTCCTGGTACAAGAGCCCTAGGAGGCAACACAACAGGTCTGAGAGGTTACAGCTGGACAAGAGAGTAGACACCTACTGTGGGAAAGGAAATCTGTTTTGCATGAGTTGACCTCAGCAGAGGTGAGAAAGACCCCTTCTGTGCTGAGTGAAAAAGCCAGTTCTGGCATTCCTATTTCAGCCAGGAGTGGGAACTATAAACGGAAGGCCACTTCTAAATCCAAAGTGTTGTCAACAACCTGTTCTCACCAAACATTTAGCAACACGGTCAGATGAATCCATGTTCAACCAGAAGACATAAAAAAAAGCAGTTTGCTAGCTGACAGACTTTTTAAATGTTTCTTTTAAACTTTTATTTCACCTGCAACATTACTATGATACAAATTATAGAGACTGATAAGTATGTGTCGGGGGGTGTGTGGAAAAGTAACACTGCACAGCTTGAAACTACTTTAAAGGAGCAATTTGATGGACATCCCTAAGGAGGAAACCATGGACCTGCTGTTAAGGCACTGGACAGGTGAGGCACTGGGACAACAGGCTACAGTGACTACTTTGGTTTGGTCCTGACTTCCTCGTTAGCCTTGGGCACGCTGCTTCATTTCCTTCTGTTTTCCTTCCCAGTTTCTGTGATGACTGAAGATACAAAATTAAGGAAAAGGCTCTGAATTCACACCATCTTGTGGCACGTCGACCACACAAGGTGTCTCCTGAGTTTCAGTTACTCCAGGAGCAAGACAAACCTGCACGGAATTGGCCCCCGCTCCTCATTTCAAATGACAGCACAAAAAAAAAGGTAGGAATTCTGAAATTCCTGGGCCATTTTTAGAAGATCTTCTGCCTCTCCCAGGGCTTTCTAACTGTCCCATTTCTCTTTCTGAGCCATCCGCAGGACCTAGAATATTAATTGCTTGAATATAAAATGTGATTTAGAAGGTATGAGAAGGGGAGAGAGCAGGAGCCTGCTCTGAGTGCCTCTCCTCACTCTGAAGGAGTGCAGTTTACATGATTTCCTTCAGCCTGTACTTAGATTGCAAAGTGTAACACAGAGAAAAGTCCTTGATGTCAAAAACAAACCTGAACCAACATAAATTTTTAATCATTAGAGGTTAAAATCTATCTGGTCACACACCTCCACGATATTGGATCTCAGAAGCAGGTTCTGTGGGCAATAAGGTGGGAGACAACTGGGTCAGGAGTTTGTCTCGCGGCGGCAGAACCGGAGATGTCGTTGCCTGTGAAATCCCTGAGCCAGTTTTCCCGAGGCTGTGTGGCTGTTAGAACTGTAGCAGCACTATGCTGAGGAAAAGGACAGTGTTCCCAACACTCCCCGGGTGTCTCCTGTTCTCTGTTCTGCCTGGGAAGATGTTCAACACCCGATGAAAATAGCAATGAGGGTAGCTGTGCCTAGGAAACCGCACAGTCTTCTGCTCGCTTCCCACACGGTCACCGGAGGGAGGAGACTTCCCCTGAAGTTTTGCATGCTGCTGCTACTTATATAATTTCTCTCTGCGTCAGCTAGGCTTAGGTGGCTTTCCTGAGCCTGTTATTCAGCTCAGAATCATAGGATCACAGAATTTTTGAGGTTGGAAAAGACCTCTAAGATCATCAGGTACAACCATCAACCCAGCGCCACCATGACCGTTAAAAACCATGTCCCCAAGTGCCAGGTCTGAACCCCTCCAGGGCTGGTGACTCCCCCACCTCCCTGGGCAGCCTGTTCCAAGGCCTCACCACTCTTGCAGGAAAGAAATTCTTCCTAATATCCAATTAAAACCTCCCCTGGCACAACTTAACCCCAATTCCTCTCATCCTATCACCTGGGAGAAGAGACCAACACCCACCTCGCTACCACCTCCTTTCAGGGAGCTGTGGAGTGCAATAAGCTCTCCCCTCAGGTTTATTATCTCAGAAGCATAATCAATTTTACTCCTGTTGGAGATAATGACACTTGCAGTGTCTGATCCTACAGCCACGTTGTGCTGGTGGGGCTGCCCTGCAAGTCAGAGGCAATTCAGGATATTTTGTGTTAGGGAGCTGTAGTGTCCTTGTGCACACCTGGAGAGCAGCCCTATAAAAATGATCCTCAGGATAAATTTTCCCCTTGCTTTTAAGGAAATAAAATCCAGGCAATGAAACTTGATTTTTGTTTCCAGGTTCCAAGACCTAAGGAGCCTTCAGTGGCCAGCAAAGGCAGCTATGGACCTGGGGGGGATCTGACTGACTAAAGGCCACTGAAACCCATTTGGAAATGGCAGCAAGGGAACTGAAGGTAACTGAGGCTCTGCAGAGGGATCTCCTCACTCTCTCCAATGACCCAAAAAGAGGCTGTAGCAAGGTGGGAGCTCAGTCTGTTCTCCCAAGTGATAAGCAATAGGACAAGAGGAAATGGCCTCAGGTTGTGCCAGGGGAGGTTTAGGTTGGATATTATGAAAAATTCTCTTCACAGAAAGGGTTGTCAAGCACTAGAACAGGCTGGCCAGGGCAGTGGTGGAGCCCCCATCCCTGGAGGGATTTAAATGATGTGTAGACGTGGTGCTGAGGGATATGGGTTAGTGGTGACTTGTCAATGCTGAGTTAACAGTTGGACTTGATCTTAAAGGTCTTTTCCAAACAGAATGATTCTCTGATTCTGTGGTTTTAAGGAGGGAGCTGAAGACAGATGATTGGCTGAAGCTCTACCAGAGACAGCAGTATGGGCAGGAAGCAGAAAGGTGATACCAGAAGACAAAAGACAGGTAGATGTTTAGGCAGAAGAAATGTAGAAAAAATATAGAGGGTGCTAACAAGGATAATATATATTCTCATCATCTTGGTGTCAAAGGTCCACCCACATGCCAGTAAAGAGGTTACAGCAGTAGAGCAAAGGATCAGAGGAGAGCAACCATACAAAAGCCTAGTCTAGGTGAAGCAGGAGATGGCCATGGCACAGGATGGATGGCAGAACAGATGCAAGGTCAGGTAATGGCATTTTGGCATGCTGAAAGGAGAGCAATACGTCTAGGAACAGGACTGAACGTGTAGAGAGAAGCTGAGATCAGAAGCAGAATGTGACTCAGAAGAGACAATGATTTAGTAAACACATCTAGCAAGTGAACAAGTACAAAATGTCAGAGACCTGTGTGAGCTCCATTCATGGCTTTATGTCCCAGCTGTCCCTGCTGTGACCTGGCTGAAGGTTAACCAGGGGGTCAAAGCATGGCTTTGGTGTAGCCTGTTGATTTGAGTGGTTAAGGCTGATATTCCTAAGGGCTGTTTACACAGTTTGTATAGTGCATAATAGATTTTTCCCTTTGTGTTTTTATTCCATTTAATTTGGCTGTCACAGTCTCCCTTCCCAGCTCTCTCACTAACTGGGAAATGAAAAACTAGTTACTAATTGTGGAGAATGCTTGCCTCAGAGAGTTCACAGTGCTTTTAAAGTAAATGTTATTACATTGAAAGCTATGCAAAATCTCAGGAGGACCAGAGGCATTTTCTGTGAAATACTCTGCTCCAGTTTCAGGCAAAAACTCCATAAATGCCTCAAAGGCAGGAGGGAGGGAAGGCAGCAAGTGTGCTCCAGGCATTTGAAACGACCTCTCTGTTGGGGGCTAATGTACCAGCTCTGGTTGTCAGAACCCTGTCTGCTCCATCAAGGTGTGACAGACCTACTTGCAATTACACTGACGTGCAGAGCTGTCGCATGGCTTCCCTCTGATACACAGCACATAAAAATATGTTTGAATATAGCAACTGGGTTGCTTGGAAGTCCTGCTGGTGGAGTATTTTTATCATGCCTCTTAGCAGCACAGTCCCAGTAACCCAACAATGTATTGACACATCTGCCTCGGGAGATTAGTACCTACACTGCCAAAAGCAAGGAGCAGAACTGGCAACATCCCTGCAGATTGTTCACTGCTTTCCTCCAGAAGGCCCCAAATTTGGCTCTTCTGTCTGGCAGACGCTGGCAGGCTGCTGGTTTCACACTAGCCTCTTTGCCCAGCACTGTCCCAGTGGCACCAGGTGCTCCAGGCATCAGCCCTGCCTGCCACAACCTGCCACAACCACCCCACCAAACTGCACCCACTTGCCTCTCCCAGCCAGGGTGTGAGAAGCCTCCTTGCTCCTGCCAGGGGAGAGCTTTGCTTGGCTGCTCCTCACAGTTACCTGTCCAATTCTCCCATTCCAAACGCTGCCTTCCTGCCCTCTAGATCCAAGTATCTTGCAGTTTGATTTCCTGCAACTGAACAAACTTTAAAAATGAAGCTTCTACACTGCCACCATAAAATCTACCACAGGATAGAGGTTAACTCTGCAGCTGCCCAAATCTTTCTGAGGAATGTCACAATTCAGATGTGGGAAACCAAGAAGCAAGCCCTGAAGGTCCTCTCTGCAACCCACAAAAGAAAAAAAACTGTTCTTGTGGTATTTTATACCACAAGAGTAAAGGCATAACAGTTCTCCCTTCCACAGGCACCCAGATAACCTCAACTCTGCCTGCACAGAGAGACCACAAATGATACAATAACTTTCTCCTCCGTTGTGAACGCTACACCAGTGTCTGTTACAAGCAGGATAGCTGACCGAGTACTTCAGTTTTATACCTTTTCCAGTATACAAAATCAGATTTCAGCAGAAAGTTAGCTGTAGCCTGAACGATCGACTGCTTTGTAGTTGGAAGAAGTAATCATTATTTATGAATGGATGTAAAGATGCTCAGCGACAGCGTTAAAGCTGCTGCCCAGCAGGGTGCAAACCTGATGCCCCTAAAAACAGCAAAAACTCGCCCCCCAAGGCACGGTTGTTATGTTTTACACCCACACCGAGCCGCTTCGCATCGACGGCGAGCGGTTTTCCCAGCAAGGACACAGAGTTGGGTTCCCGCGACGCA